CTATTAGAAAGCGTAAAGATGAATCTGTTACAGTTTCTTTTTAGAGCAAAACAGAACTCCATTTTGGATGGTCTGGTACTGCTGCTTGATGCTGGCTGCTGCAAGTGTTTGTCCTTAATTGTGGTTGCTGCTCTACATCAGAGAGTTTGGTGGTCACAGGGCTGATCTCCAGATTTCCATTTCCTTCATGCCCAGTGCTCAAAGCAGAGCATGCGAGACGCTGTGCTAAGCAGTGCAGGGGTTTGTCCTTTGGGAATGCTTCTTCCCATACACCTGGAAAAAAGAGGGTGAACTGCAGCCAGGTTAGATGCTTCATTTTGAGTGCTTCAAAACCGTGGTGTTTAGGTAATGTTCAGTCACCCTCTGAATCTTACAGCCTTGCTTTTGAGAAACACCTGCAGCTTAGATTTCCCTAAGCAAACTTTCCATTTTGCTGGGAAAAGTTGCTGTTTTTAAAGGCTATTTCATGCCTTTACTTCTCTGACTGTTTCCAGCAGAATGCCAGGTCTCCAATACAGAGGATTTTCAGATTTCTCCATCACTTCTGTGTTATCTCACTTCTCAAAGTAGATCAATTCAAAGCTTACTGCTAATAGTTCTGCCTGCAACAGCAAGTTACAAATACATCAATGATATGAGAGGAATGTGATCATTTGCTTATTTGTTAATAGCATCTTGCCTCCTAGGATCTTAAAGTGCATTTAAAACTTCAGTCAAATGCTGAATCTCCTTTTTCCTCATTGCTTTTATTTGAATGGAGGGAAAACTGGGGCTCCATGGGTGGAATCTGGCTCTGGAGATGCCGCAGCAGTTGATCAGGTGTGGTTCTAGTTTGAGAAAGGCACAGCCAGCACCTTTAGACCTAGCCAATTGTTGGAAGAGACCTGGTTTCTGAGCAACACTTGAAAATGGTATTTAAGTGTCCAGATATGTCTGGTGCCTGAGGCCAAAAACGCTGGCTGGGATAACCCCATCCTGTTGTAGTGAATCCAGAGTGAGCCAAGACTTGGACCCACAGCAATGCTGGACCCCTCTCTGAAATCCATTCCACAAGGTGTTTTGTGGGATTCGTGCAAAGTATTCTTCACTCTAGCTGGCACCCTCTTGAAATGGTCCCTGTCCTTATGCGGGGCCAGGACTTCTCAGGTCAAGGGCAGACCAAGGAGCCTAGCCATGGTTGCTTCTTAATCTTCCAAATGCCGGATCCATGCCTGCTGCCTGGTGTGGTTTGCCTCCAGACAGCAGCTGACAGATCACACCATCTCTGATCTGCCCTGAGATCTGGGAGCCACAGCAGGGTCCTGACTCCTGCCCTGGTAAATCTACTCCATTAATAGCTATCAAAGAGCCTGAAGTTTCCATCCGAACTTTATCTGGCTTTGCAGTGGGCTGGAGGATTAAAGCCCATCGCAGGGGAAGGGAGGGAGCAGCCGCGGCTCACCCGGAATAGCCTGACCTATGACGGCACGTACCAGCCCAGGGAGGGGAGTTGTGCTGCGAGCTCCGGGTTATCGGCAGCGAGCACAGACATGCCTGCAGCCAGCAGCATGCCCAGGGCCATCTGCTCTGTCCCTTGCTGGTTTAGGGGGTCCGGAGGGATTTGTTAGTACAGCTAGCATGCACGTTGCTATGATGGGAGAGCTGGGAGCAGGCTTGCTGGCCAGCCTTGTGGAGCCATTGCTGTACGCTGCTCCAGCCAGCTTTAGGGTTTGACCTCTGGGCTGTTTCTGTGGGGCAGGTGTGATTTTGAGGGAGAGTGATAAGAGGAGATAACCCCTGCCCTGCTGCAGCCCAGGGCTGTTTGCTCTCTGCTGTGTCACAGCAAGCAATGAAGGCATCAGAGTGGGCTGTGGGGCTGGGGCCGTCCTCTCAGGGCAGCAGGTGTGGGGCACAAGCCTTTGCCTACAGGTGGGGGAAGAGTGTAGGAAGCAAGAGCAGTTTTTTTGGTGTAGCCAGGGATTCGCTTCTCACAGGCTCTCTCTTGTAACTGGTTTTGCTTTCCTTGCCTTGCTCCTCTGCTGGTGTTCCAGGGTCCTCTGTTTCACCTGCCCCATGTCACCACTGTGGAAAAATGCAGGGTTTCTTGTTACTCCCTCCCCCCTCCTAAAAGCTGAGCATCCGGTGTTGCAGCAGGAATTTTTTCCATAGAGGCAGGCTGTGAGTTAGAGCCCTTTCCAGTGCCTAGCATTTTGCAGGACCTGTGCAGAGCACCTCAGCATGGTGGAGTAAGATCTTCCCAGCTGGCCAGATGACCCCAGACTCGGTGTGCATGTTTGCCAAGGAGCAGTGGAATAGAGGAACTTCTTGCACGTGTGGGAAGCAGGCACGGGGCCACCACAATGAATAGTCTGTGGGTGCTGCTCAGTGTTTTACACCGTGAAGCATTGAGGCCACTCTAAACCTTTGACAACATACTCCAGATTCCTCCCAGTTAAACGGTCTCCTTCCCTCCCCTCCAGGCCTGAAAGCATTGCATCTCCTGACTAGCCAGACAGATGCATTGCCCCATAAAAAGGACCTTTGTATCCCCAACAATTCTACTGATCTACACGCTGGGAACATTATTCTGCCTTGGAATTTGCAGCTTGTGTACTGTATCGTTATCCAGGAAGTCACCCAGCAGGTGGGACATCCATGCTCTGTAGATCTAGTAGCCATGGGGAGTACAGCTGACCACAGGGCCTTTGAGCTTTGAGTGGCATCCTTTCTGGAAGAGGTTCACCGTAGCACCTGATGAGAAAGATGAGGCTGTACTGAGTCCTTCTCTCCTGCTGGCATGGTGGAGAAATGAGTAGCCTCAACAGTAGCATTGCTGTGGCATGCATTCCCCTTCACTGGAGCAGATCAACAAAGCAGGCACCGGTGGCTGGTGTACAGGACTCTTGCCTGTCCAACCAGTGTTGCTTCTGCTGCTCTGCAACAAGCTCTTCTGTGCCAAGGGTTTGAGAGGGAGAAGGGAGTATTTGTGGTCTCTATGTCCTGCTGCATAGTCAGGTTTACCAAGCACCTTAGGCACTTGTAGCTGCAGTGTTTGCTGCTGTCGCTTGAGGTGTAGAAAGCTGTGCTTCTAGCTCTGGAGGCTTTTTGGTTCAGCTCTTGGTCACAAATAGGGCAGTCTTCATCTGTATGTGTCCTTTTCCCCATCTTGCTGACACTGGAATACCTTAGCAATTATTCCTGGAGGTGAAGAGAGGCAGCTGAACAGAAGGAGAATGAAAAACAGTGATTTCTCCCCTAGAAGTTCAGTCCCAGCTTAAATAAGGGGATTTATGAGCCGGGTGCTGAATGACTGCACTGATTTATCGTGTCTACCACTAGAGTCAGTTATTGCAGTCGGGGTGAGCTGGGAATATGCGTGCCTATATGGGGCAGAGGGGAACTGAGATTAGCCAAGTAGACATAACACAAATGTCTTCCACCTTGGCTATGTAAAAAGGTGAGAGTGAGCCAGTAGATGCGTTGGCAGTTGGACTATATGGTCATTGTGGGTCCCTTTGAGCTGAAAATACTCTATTCTACATCCTGTTGCATGGACCTTGTCAATGTGATTTTGGGGACCAAACATGAAAGTCTGATCCCTGCCTTGCAGGGGAAAAATTCTCTTCACATTCTCTGAGAAGATCTGCGGGTAGCAAAGGGAGCTGGAGAGGCTGATTTGGGTGACTGTCATGGCTACCTGACAGTTTCTCAGAGCGACTGGTCTGGGGACACTTGCTGGTAGCCTTCCTGTAGAGGTGGCAGTAACATGCACCTGTTTTTCCATCTTGACCCTCTTCTACCCAAGAGGGGCTGAACAAGGTGGCTGAGACCTGTGGCTAAAGGCCTGCTGCGCTCAGCAGGGCAAGGAGATGTTGATTTTTCCAGTGCTTTCTGCCTCTTGGGCAGTCATGCTCTTCCCAGCCCCGGCTCCCTTGCTTTTCGAGGTGTTCCCTCAGCACCCTTTCTAGCCTACCTCCTGCTCCCCAGAACCTCCTGTGACTGAGGACTGGGTGAGGTTTTCTGTGTTTTTATGGCCCTGCGAGAGGAGGCTGTTTTTTGGCACAATCAGGTTTTACTTTTGATTAACAAAGATGCTGTAACGAAGCTTAACCAGCTATAGTTTACATCCTTGTCTCCTGCTGCTGGGGTTGCTTTGGGCATGACAAATACCTGCTGCCCTACTCCACAGCTGCGGTTTGCTCAGCCCTCTTGTGATGGACCCACCTTCCTGTCCAGAAAATGAAATGCTTTGTTCAAAGCCTGAGAGCGATCCACTTAGCTGCATGGAGAGACCATTGAGAGAAGTGTGATAAGGGAAGTGGTCTGATAAGGATTTTTTTTTTTTTACAGGCTGCAGGGAACCCTGCTGTGCAGGGAGGTGGTGAGGGGAACAGGTCTGGCTGCTGACACTCAGACATGACGTTTACACCATGAATCTCCATGACACTCAGTCTCAGGTCCCCAGTTGCTCTCCACAGCCAGCTCCTTCCAAGCATGTGCATAGTGAGAAAAAGTGGAAAGAAGGTGGGACTTTCACTGCTCCAGCCACCTTCTCTCTCCAAGGAGGTCTCTGCATGGCTTTGTGTTTGAGGGCAGTCCAGCTGTTCTGGGAGCAAAAAAAACCCCACCCTGTCTGGACCAGAGATTAGTGTTAGATCAGGGCAAGTGTAACCACACAGCACAAGGCAGATCAGAGACGTGGTGTGTTTCTGGCTGGTCCAGGAGATAAATGACTGGGTTGCTATTGCCTTGCCTGCAAAAAGCATTAGACCAGTGAAGGACAAACCTCAGTTGTGTTCTTTGGTACAGCGAAGTATAAGAAGTCTGAGTTCATCCTGATTCGTCTGTAAGTTGTTTTTCAAACTATGACAGGGCTGAGAAATATTCCAGAAATTCTGAGTGCAAGAGTAATGGAGACTTTTTGACTTTGCTTCCCTCAGCCTCACAAGCAGAAACTTGCAACTGTTTGCTTTGCTGTATCTGTGTTTGAAGTCTCCTATCTTTCTCCTCTCTTTCTGCAGGTTCTTCAGAAGCTTGGGAAAGCAGATGAAACAAAAGATGAGCAGTTTGAACAGTGTGTGCAGAACTTCAACAAACAGCTGGTAAGATAATTGGCGATATGTAATTACACCCTGGGTTTCAGTATTAGCTTCCAGTCATCTGCTGCAATATGTAATTAAAGCCCGTTAAATTAAACGATGCCATAGGCCTGTTGAAATGACCCACAACTCATAGCTGTTCACTTACGAGAAATTACACTGTCTTCCAGTGTCCCTACCATAGAGTCAGTGAGAGCGTATGCTGAAAAGTAATACTTATTCTAGACTCAAGCTTAGGAAAATAAATAGCTCAGCCAGAACACTTTTTTCAGTTAGTAGCTGCTTTGTAGTGTGGTTTTTCTTTCTGGGCTGGAAGCAGAGACATAAGAACAGCATTGTGTGATAGGGTGGGAAAGAGATTAGAAATCAAAAATAAAACCGAATGAGGGAGATTCCATTTCCTAAGCTCAGCAGAGGGGAAAAGAGACAAAGAAAGTGAATAGTGAAAAGAGAACATCCTTCTGTGACTCAGATCTCAGTCTGTCTTCCTCCCCATCCCTGCAAAATCACTGTGTCAGGCCTGAGTCGTCATTCTTTCCCATGTCTGCTTCATCCCTGTATTTCAGCGCACAAAAATATTTTAACAGTGCAGCAATTTCCCCTCACCCTCCTATTTAAACAGCAGCCGGGTTAGTTCTTGAACTGGGTGTGGGTTTTCTATCTGGAGCTTTCAGCCACACAGAGGAGGGGAGAACATCAGTTACCCCAGGGGATTTGCACCGTGGTGCTTGGTGTTAGAGGAGGTGTTTCTGGTCCATGGCAGGACGTGCAGGCCATGCCAAAGCTCAGGTGGTGCTGAAGAAGCCTTTTAGCCCCTTTGTGCCCTGACATGTTTAGGACCTTTTTCTGGAGCTGTTAGTGACAGCTGCATTGTGTCTGTTAAGACTCAGCAGATGTGGTTGTGTGTTGCAAAACCAGCTGAGGAGGGATTTGCCACAGCTGAATACAATGAAAATCTTTCAGTCTGACTTTGACTTGTGTCTAACTGGAGCTGACTGCAGATTCCTGGAGACTAATGCTCATTCTTTTGGCAGTGGTAGTAGATGTTGCTCCAGAAGTTCATGCAACATCTCTATAGCGTGTCCACCAGTGATATTCTCCTGTACACAGAGGAATACAGTTTGGCTTCTTTCTGATGACATGACATTACCAGGTGTGACTTTTCTGTACCATTTTTAAGTGTAGGCAATCAGGAAATAACATTTTAAAGGAGAAATACCGAAAAACACAAATCTAAACTTTTTCATTTGATTGTCTGGGATGGCTTTTCAATTTCCAAAGCTATGAATTCCGGTGGTGCACTGAGAAGCCTGTTAAAGAAGCACTGCCTCTGTACCCCTTGCAGCTGAATTTCTTTTCCTGTCTTGCAGGGACAGACTGTGAACTAAGTTATCCAAATATCAAAGGAGCTGGAGGCTGCTCTGCATTTGCTTCTTGGGGTCTGTTAGTTTTGCTTTGGCCCTCAGTTTTGGTATTGCTAAAATAAGCGTAAATACTGCCCATTTTACAGGGTAAACAACAAATGTGAGTTAGCTGGACTGTTAGTATATCCGAGGCTGAGGAGTTGTTATGATGCCAACCAGACTAGGGAAAAAACTTCAACTACATATGTATATATGCACACTCATTTTTATTTTTATATGTGTGTGCAGTATACCTATATGTGAGATTTCTATGGCCTTTCCTTACGAAATCTGCTCCAGTGGGAAATGTAAATCTGGAGGAAAGCTGATCTTTTGCTACAGGCTGGTGACAGAACACCTCTCCTGTGAAACTGGCTGGGGTGTGACCAGGCAATGGCCTTGTTTGCAGCTTGATTAGAGGCTCCTCTGACTCTAATGACTGTTGGGCCATGCTGACACATGTTCCCATGCATGGGCTGTTGATGAATGCAGAGCAGGTCTGAAAATCACTTAGTAATTTTCAACCAAAGCATCCTGTGGCGCTCTCAAATGGTGGCTGAGTGGACATAAGGGAAGACATTCGTGCTTCCCAGCTCTCTGTCTGTTCGGGCTCGTAGAAGAGCATCACTCTGAAGTCTCTAAATGGTAGGAGCTTTTTACCTCAAACAGATGGATCTGCTGCATGACCCATGAGCTGGATGTGAACATGCTTCTGCAGGGATACAGGGCTTGCCTGTGTCTCCTGGAGGCCTGGCAAACAGCACACCTGGTCCCCATGTTACTCCCTCAAGATGGATCATCTTTGGTGATTAACCTCCCAAAAAGTTCCCTTGGAGGCTCCCCCCTCCTTCCCTTTTCCCCCCATATTGCTTGTGTTCAGGCCCTGGACACAGGTCTGTCCTGGAAATTATCCTCGCAGAGCTGGGGGCGAGAGGCTGGCTACAGGGGTGTACCAGAGCCCCTGCCCGCGAGGTGCTAGGCTTTGCCTTCCCTGCCCCTGCGTGCGAGACACTTACCGGGGTGGCAGAGTGGGAGGGTGGTGGCAGCCCTTACGCCGGGCACCACGCTGCGCTTCCGCCTGGCAGAGCGGCTGGGTTTCGATACCATTCATGAGCTGTCGCTCGTGTGGAGGTTCTGGGTTGGTTTGCAATGTTTCTCACCACATGTGTGAGACAAGCTGCTGCTGGAGCGGGCTGCATCCACCTCTGCCTGTACCCCATGGCGTGCGGCACAGGCTCAGCATGCAGGGCAGGCAGCGTGGACTTAAGTCGTCTTTGCTCTTGCAGTGCAGGTTTGGCTGCGGACCGTAACTATCAGTAGCTCAGAGAGGCTTTCTGTCTGGGCAAGAACCCTTTACACCCAGCGGTTTCCATTTCAGACCTATGTAGAAAACCAATTCTAATAGCTTGCCTGTGTCTTGACAGCTCTGAAGTTTTACTGAGTGGGAGCTTACTGGGTGCTGTTGTTTCAGTGCTTTCCCCCCACCCCTTTATGACTCCACAGTCTGCTTTTCCAGCCCTATATTAATCAAGTCTGGAACAGGACATCACCTGTCCCTCTCAGGTGTAGAGGGGCTTTATTATGTTTTATTATCATTATCCCTGCTGATAATAAAAATCCTTCCCATGGGAACTGCTAAACCAAAGAGGTTAGATAAAGTAGGGGTCACAGCCTAATGTTAGAGTGAAAGAATTTCAGAATCGCAGAATGTTTGGGACTGGAAGGGACCTCTGTGGGTCATCTAGTCCAAACCCCCTGCCGAAGCAGCATCACCTACAGCAGGCTGCACAGGACCTTGTCCAGGCTGGTCTTGAATATCTCCAGAGAAGGAGACTCCACAACCTCCCTGGGCAACCTGTTCCAGGGCTCCGTCACCCTCAGAGGGAAGAAGTTCTTCCTCATGTTCAGATGGAACTTCCTG